TTGAGAAATATGTGACTGCTAGTCATTTCATGGAGATATGCCAAAAGTACATGCGGTGGTCTGTGTGCTTCTGAAGTGGGCCGAACGCCGAAGGCACGCAACACACGTGAGGTATGTGCGGCCTCTCGAGAGCCGCAGCGACCTCGCTCAAACCCCCTAAAGTACCCTCATGCCTCTACCGTGCTAAGTTTGACTAAGCATCCTCTACTATAGCGAGTCCGCGCCAACGCGAACGGCCGCGGCCCGCGACGGCGCAGGGCGATCCGGTGCCTGGCCTGGGGGAAGCCCGACCAGTGTGTCTGTGAGGTGGCTCAGAAATGCGGCGAGACCGCCGCCGCCGCGTCCGCCCGCCGCCTCCCCTCCTCTGGCCGCCTCGCCGCCCGTCCAGTTGAGCGCAAAGCTGCTGACTGCGCCACGCCGGCTCTCGGGCGGCAGCACGATCGTGTGCCCGTCGTCGCTGAAGTTGACGCGCAGGGGGGTGAGCGACAGCCAGCGCCCGCCGGCGGCGAGGTGCACAGCCTAGGCGGGCGGTGTCGCGGACGTGTCGCGGACGTGTCGCGGACGTGTGTGGTCGTGTCGCGGACGTGTCGCGGACGTGTCGCGGACGTGTCGCGGCCGCGGCCGTGTCGTGGCCGTGTGTGGCCGCGTCTTGGCCGTGTCGTGGCCGTGACGTGGCCGTGTCTGTCGGGCGGGGGAGGAGGGCTGCGCCGCGCCTCCGTGTCGAACAGGATCGGGAGATATGGGGAGATATGGGGAGAGATGGGGAGAGATGAGCCTCTGTGTCGAAGAGGATCGGGCTGCTTGTGGCCGGGTCGAGCGAGCTCGCCTCGCGGTGGGTGATGCACTTCGTGTCTCGCCTGGAGGAAGGGGCAGTGCCGCCACTGACGAGACGCGGGTGCCGCCTCGGACTGTCGGCGCCCCCCCTCCCTCCCTTCGCATCGGCCGCCTCGACTCGCTCCACCACGCGCGGTAGCACTCGAGGAGCACGCGCACCTTGTGCACGTGGCGGGCACAGGCGCGAAGTGAGGCCCCCCGGCACTCCACCCACCGCGCCTAGTCCCGACCCCACACGCACCGCAGGGGAGGGCGACGCGCCGATGCGCCGCCAGAGCGCACCGTCGAGAGAGACGTTGACGGTCGTCGCGAGCGGGGCCCACTGCGTCTGGCCGCGCCACGCGGGCAGCAGCAGCGCCCGCGCGGCGGGGACGTCGAGCCGCTCGTTGGTGGTGGCCACCTGTGCGCAGCGCAGCACTTGCCCGCAGACGCACGTGCAAGGAGAGACGCTGCCGCTCGGGCGAAAGGGAGAGGAGAGGGAGGGAGGGAGAGAGAGAGAGAGAGAGAGAGAGAGAGAGAGAGAGAGAGAGAGACAGAGAGAGAGAGAGAGACAGAGAGACAGAGAGACAGAGACAGAGACAGAGACAGAGACAGAGACGGAGAGACAGAGACAGAGATAGAGACAGACAGGGACAGAGACAGACAGAGAGGCAGAGGCTCACCGGCGACTCGTGCCCCCAGGGCAGCTTGATGTGTGGCACCACGGAGCCGCCCATCGCAAAGATCTGGACGCGCGACGCCGCGCGCGGGTACCGCGCCAGCAGCGCGGCCGCGTTGGTGTGCGGCCTGCGGCGACGCAAGCACGGGTGAGAAGACGGGCTT